TTTTAAAAATCATTTTAGATCATTTTATGAATAAAATGTAGTCCCCTGAATATTTTAAAGACATCTGTAGAAAGATCCAGAAGTTTAAAGGGAATGTTCTTTCTACAGAATCTAACTTTTTTTTATAATTAAGAGGACAAGTATGACAGACTACATCAATACATACTGGATTAAATTTACTTCTGAGAATATATATTGACTACTAAGTACATTGTCATTGCCAAATGATACAGAAAGCAGACTAGACATAAAACACAGTTTCTACTATTAGAGGGCTTACAGTTTGTGAATGAGGCTCAACTATAGTTGAGTAACTAACTATAAAAGGTAGCTGATTGGCTCAAGTAAAAGCACAGTTTGTCGTTCATCAAAGCTCCCCAGCTTTGCAGAGTTGTTATTCAAAGGAGGAAGCAGAACAAGTAAGTCAACTTTACTCTGATTGCAGATAACTGAACCCACATTTCCCCCACCACAGCAGCCGTGGTTATAACAGGGATCCAATAGGGGGAGAACTGGAGAAGTATGGAGAGTAAGAGGACATTTTGGAAAGATGAGGAGGATCACTGCAAGTTTGAAGGCAGCGTGTTGTACATGGAAAAGTTTCAGGCCAACCAGCACTACACAGTAAGATTCTACATCAAGAAGCAAAATGAAACAACAACAAGAAGTATGAGGCCTGGAGAGATGGCTCAGCAGCCAAGAGTGTAGGCTGCTCTTCCTGGGTTCGATTCCCAGCACCCACATTGCATTCACAGTTTCTTGTAACTCCAGTTCCAATGGTTCTGATGCCCTCTTCTGGCCACTGTAGGACACACAGACACACACAGAGACATACACAGACACACACACACACACACACACACACACACAAACACACACACGGCACACAGATATTTATGCAGGCAAAAATCCATAATGCAGAATAATAAAAGTAAAACAATAAAAGAAGAATGATAGAGGGTGCTTGTTGGGGACTATCCTTGTTCAATATGCAGTAATGCCTCAAATGTCACCAATTAAAATATTATTGCAACTATATTGAAGAAAGTGTCTGTAGATTCATGAAAATCAACAAAATTCCATAAATTGATGTTCTAAAATAGGATGAGAGACCTGTGCATTTCTAAGTTTATTTCACCTCAAAACATTACTATTTTTTAAAACCCACATGCTGCAACAGTAATACTTTATATTCCTGATGAGGTAAATGATGCACAGTGATTAGAAATTAGAACTGTAAGTCTGCAAGTGTCACTCCTAATCATAGAGCACGTGCACTAGGCAGGGGGTGTGGAGAAGAGAAGCGTGGGCAGAAAGAAAAAAAATATTTCCTATATTTCTCTTTGCTTCTTTGGAGAAATGGTGCGCACCAATTCGAAGATACTCTGTAGAGCTTGGTTTTGTTTTTTGTTTTTTGCTTTGTTTTATGATTACTTTCATTCTGGTTAAGAAGTTAGAACAATTAGTCTATGGGTTAGTTGATAGAGAGCTCGCCAAGCGTGCACAAAGCACTGGGTTTGATCATCATTCTGCACAAGGCAAGTGTGATGGTGAAGAACTGTAAGGGGAGGAAAAAGAATAATTTTTCTGCCAGTGAGTTCGAGTCAAGCATTGGCTACAAAGTGAGACTATCTGAAAACACTACTTTTTTTTTCCTTTAAAATATCGTTACTCCTTCTCATTTTCCATTTGGTTTTTCTTCATAAGGAAAAAGAAAAAATCCAGATAGATATTAATAAAGCATCTTCCCTCTGTTTCTCCCCAATGAAAAGAACCCGAGGACTGAAATTAATCCTTTTATATGTGAGCTTTGTGTTTCTGGCCCTTTGGCATTATCTCTGTAAGCGGACCGGTGCCTGGCTTAGGCTTTCAGCACTTTTATGTGATTCGGTTGCTCTGCCTCTCAGGGAAAATGTCTTCCCTTGAAGAGTGCGTTGTGTTTTTAGCAGATGGGCCAGTGGTCTCGGCAATAGATCTCCAGACTGTCTTGGATCCACTCCAGACAGATGCCAATCCTCGCGTCCACAAGGCCGCCTGTCGGTCTGTCTGGGAATGCATCCCAGCTCTTCCGAGAAAGCAGTCCAAGTCCTCCACCGCACGCCGCCCGGTGTCCTCTGCGCACAGCCCGGAGCTGCCACTCCCGGTTCTGGAGGACGCGCCCCGCGGCCATCGTGCGTTTCCACCCGGAGCGCGGCGTGGAAAGCTGCACCAGCTCGAGTCGCCGAGCGCCAGCCCAGGCGCTGCGGGCTGCCAGGTGCAGACGGGGATGGCAGCGGCGTGGCTGCAGCCGGAGCCGGGTGACCTGCACCGCCTGCGTGTGACCGGCCCCAGACATTCCCCCTCCACTCCAAGAATTCCTGAAGAGTGTGCGTAAGATCTGGGGTGCAGACCGCAGAAGCCGGGGAGCTGGCGCGACCCGGAAGCACGACTGCTCCGCCCAAGGGCCGGAAGTGTAACTGGTGGCTGCGGTACTGCGCTAGCGGGTGAAGGCCCTTGTGATACCACGCCCATAACAGCCTCGCTGTGGCAAAGGACTGCAGTACTTTCCCCGGAAACCTAGGGGCTGGTGGTCCAAGGGACTTGTCGCTTGATGGGATGGGTCTCCAATTTCTCCTAGGACCCTGGACTGTGTGTGTGTGTGTGCGTGTGTGTGTGTGTGTGTGTGTGTGTGTGTGTGTGTGTGTGTGTGTGCCAGCAATACCTATTGGATGAATCTGGTGATTCCTGTGAACTGACAGCAGTTTGGTACTTAGGGGCACAGTAAGTTGTGTGTGTTAGGTCTCAAAGAAACCCAAGACCAATGACTAACTGAGACGCCTATTTAACATGTCAAAGCGGTCGCAGGCCACCCGGTTCTCTAGGCATTGCCAGTACCTGTTGCAGAGTCTTGGCTCCTCTCAGCACTTCTCACACACCCTCCCCGCCTCTTACCCTAAGCATCTCCAGCCCTAGAGCTTTACTTTGCTTCCCCCAGCTTCTGATTTCTCCGTAGCTCAGCTATTTTGACTGCGTGCTCTTCTGGCTCCACGCTTGGCGCTCTTGGTTTCGGGTCTCCCTTGGTCTCCTCTCTTGGCCCCACCTCACCCCATGGCCGGATCTATTCTGTACTCTCTTCAAAGTGTCTCTGGCTGTTCCACCATACCCAGGCGCGGTCGTCGTGTCCTCATTTTTCATTCAGTGTGCTTGTTGATTCATCTTCTCCGTGGGTAACATGATTTCCTGCGCTCTCCAAGTTGTCAAGGGATACTTTGTGTCTTCTTGAGACAGAATTTTAAGAAGCAGAGGCTGGCCATGAATTACTGCTCCACCTGCCTCCAAGTGTTGTGATTACATTCTTGAGCCACCATGGATGGTTATTTCTCATTTAATTAAAAAAGAAAGCCTGCAATTGTGTAGTGATTTGTTGGACGTTGAGCCCAAGCACTTTGGTCAGACTAATTTGATGTTCTTAGTTGACTCAATATGCCTTGTCTTTTTCTTTTTAACATAATAATCTCCTATAACCCAGGCTGGCCTTGAACCTGCCATGTAACTGAGAGTGACTTTGCTCTCCAAATCTTTTTGCCTCAATCTCCTGAGGGGCAAGACTATTGACCTCTGCTACTGCACCCGGATTCTAGATGCATTTCATGAGAGCACTTGTTAGAGCACTGTTACGTTGTAGGTTTTGCAGTTATCAGTCACTCTTCCATGGAACTGTTCCTTCAAGACAGAGATTATTTTATCCTATTCTAATTTTCTCACACCAGCTACTGCCTGCTAAATATTGAATTCTATTGATATTACTCACCCCCAGACCTTATCCTTTCTGGAGATGACATATTTTTGCAGACATCTAATGAGGAAGGGATGTAGAAATAGGGAGATAGAATTCGCAGACACTAGATAAAAGTGAAAGGTACAGCTGCATTTATATGGCAGTACTAGTGCTCAGAATCAATTTAGTATTCCAATTTCCTTAAAAAATTATTTTATATTTAATAATGTCCATGCACCAGCCAGAAGAGGGTGTCAGATACGGTAGAGCTGAAGCCACAGGCAGTTGTGAGCAGCCATGTTGATGCTGAGAATCCAACTCTAGTCCTCTGGAAAAGCAGGCAATGCCCTTGACCCCTGAGCCCATCTCTCCAGTCCCTAATCCAGTTTCTTTAGCTGTAAGGGCATCATGGCCTGATGGTAGGAATGACATTTTTAGGTAACTCCTCCTCCCCTATTATCAGGGCCTCATGCATGTTCTCTACCATCAAGCTAAACCCATGGCCCTATGTAATCACTTAAAAACCATCATTCAAGCATATTCACTTTGGATGTTACTCTCTACACTCCCCCTACACACACACACACACACACACACACACACACACACACACACACACACACACACTTTTTCCTTCCTGTAGATGAACTGTGGTGTAATTCATTACAATTGAAGAAAAAATGAACTCTCATAATCTTTGATATCTTACCTTCCTTGGATTTACCAGTGTGTTGGCTAATCACTGGTAATTGGCTAATCTTTTTATATTTTTCACTGGAATCCAAAAATAGCGTAAGTTAATGAAACTTCACTTCAATATCTGAATAATGTCTGATTTGGAAAAGCAAACTGCAAAATTAAAAATCATTAGCGAGGAGGGTACAAGATGTAGCTCAGTGGTCGAGTTTCTACAGGCGCTGGGCGGAGACAAAAGAGCTGGCTTCATTGGCATCTTCTCAATGAAACAGTTCTTGTTTTGAACTGTTAAATCCAGTAGGGGAAGTCCTTAGCCTTTCCAAGTGCTCTTCTGGTCTCTTGTATGAGCAAACTTTAGAAGGTTCTGTTCTGTTACTATGTGATACTGATGCTGTTTTTCATAAAAGGTTTGGTTGTGCTTGTTCATCTAATGTCATGATATTGAAACACGTATTACAAAAAATTCACCGAGGCAACATAGTATTTAGAGAACATTTTCCATTTAATGTCCTCCTGCTTCCACCTCCCAAGCACTAAGAATTACAGGCTTGTGCCACATTTGATTTTATTGTATAACTTTCCGGACAAGCCAACTGTCCACAACAGAAATTATTTTTTGAGACAGAGTATTACAATGTAGCCCATGCTGGAATGGACCAGGAGACCCAGGGCTTCAGCTTGCCGCATGCTGCTGTTCGGCTTGAGCCAAAAGCCAGGAAGAATTTTCACTTTAGGTAACTACAATTAGAAAAATATAGTTCAGTCAGAACATAACAGAAAATAGACTAGATATCTTATCTCTGTTTTTTTTTTTTTTTTTGTGAAGGATTCAGTTGTAAGAAAGACATCTTGCCTCACATTAGCATTAGGTTGTGGGGGTTTTTTTGTTCGTTTGTTTTTACTGGCCTGAAACTGGCTATGTAGCTGAACTTCAGCTACTTCTGCTTCCATCTGGGGAGTGGTTAGATTAAACATGTAGCTGTGTGCCTTTGGCCTGGTTTATGTAGCGCGGTGGATTGAACCCGGTCCCTCCATGCTAGCCAAGTATCCTACCAACTGAGCCACGCCCCCAGCCCCCAAAGATCGGTTTTGCCCTTAGCTTGATTATGAAATTTATGGTTAAGCACTTTGATTTTTCAAGCACCTCTTATCCCCTTCACTTTTAAAATATTTTTTGTTTTAGGGTCTCATATAGTATGGCCTGGGATGAACTTCTGAACCTCCTGCCTCCATGGAGTACTGTAATTACAAAGGTGCACACAACACACAGCCCTCTTCTGCAATTCTAATGCCAAGTGTTCATTGCTTTCGGCTTGCAAATAAAAAATATGGTTTAGAAGGTCGCCTGTTTGCAGCACCTAGGGGGAAAATGCTGGTGGTATTTATTTATTGACATCCTTGTTCTCTTACTTTAGCATCCTTAATAGTGTTCTTTTTCCTTGACCTACTTTCAAGAGCCTGCATTAGGTGTGGATTCTTGTAGCGTGTAAGCAGTCTTTTACAGTGGCGAAACAGATTTATTTTAGAAAAGCTCTAGTGCCTTAAAAACCGCCTGGTTACAACGTTAATCATTTCGGCCTGTTTGAATTCTCTCCAAACTATACTTTTCTTGTGCTCGCTGCTAGGTTTTCCAGAATGAGAATTAAACCTCATTCTGTTCCGACCCGATTGTTTTCTTTGTGGCCTCCAACACCTAGAGAGCGTGTTCCCAGGAGGCGTTCTTGGGTGGGCACAGACACCAGGGCAAGCGCCGGCTCCGCACTCCGCCCTGGCCTCCTCCAGCTCCTCCTCTGCAGACCGTGCACTCGCCGGGGACCGGGGCCGCAGAAGCCTCGGCTCGCTGCAGCCCCGCACCGGGCAGCCCGCCCCGCACCCCGGCCTTTGTACGTGCGCCCAGGCGTGCCAGCGCACCCGTGCACGTGACCCCGCCGAACGTGGCATTGTGTTATCACGTGACCCAGGTGCGTACGCGACGGAGCGGGCTGCGAAGATGGCGGACGACGAGGCCGAGCAGGAGCGCCTGAGCGGCGGCGGCTGCGCGGCGGAGCTGCGGCGCCTGGGCGAGCGGCTGCAGGAGCTGGAGCGGCGGCTGTGCGAGAGCCGGGAGCCCGCCGTGGAGGCAGCCGCCGCGTACTGCCGGCAGCTGTGCCAGGTGAGCCCCTCCCCCTCCGCGGGCCTTAGCGGCCGGAGCGCGGGCGGTCCGCGCCTTTGTGTTCGGCGGCCGGGCTGGGCCCGGGGGGCCTCCGGCTCCGTGCACGCTGCCGGGCTGGCGCCGCGGGCTCCCGGCTGGCCCTCGCGCGGCAGTCCCCGGCCCCCGGCCGGTGCGCGCAGTCGCCCGGCCTTTGTTGTGAGGTTAGGCTCCGACCGTAAGGTCTTTGTTGATGTTCTCGAGCCAATCCCGCCGGACCTGCAAGCTGGGAGTGGCGGCGGCGGCGGCGGGCGTCTGCGCTGCGGCCGTTGCCGCTGGCTGCTCTCCGCGGTGCAAAGGAGCTGTCACCGTTCCGTAGACGGTTGTCCCTTGGGGGCGGCTTTTCCAGTGTCGGTTTCTCCTTTACGTTCCGGAAGAGTAGGATTTCCGGCCCCCTGCACCCCCACCCCCACCCCCCATTTCTCGGGTTCTTTCCTGTTGAGTGTCTTTAGTTGACAAGGGATCTGTGCTGGGGACAGTTTCAGACCTTGCCATTCTTTTCTTGCCCAAGGACATTGCTTTCCAGCAACGGGTGCTAACTGGGATTTAGAATGTTAGTAACAATTTGCTTATGACAGAAATCAGAGTTTGGGTCTGCATTTGGACTTAATCACGAGATAACGCATGAAATTCCAAGGAGCTGCTGCCTGCTGTGAAGAACATTGATTAAATTGCGGAGGAAATAGACCGTTTTCACATTACAAGTGAACCTAATGGATGTGTCATTGTTGAGATTTTGTTTTGGAAGCACTGAGGTTTGAACAGTGGTGGAGCATCATAGGATGTCAGAGTTACGCTTGCCAGCCTCCAGGTTCTGAAATCTTTCTTTGTAGGCTCAGGGTACCTGATCACATTTAGAAGAATCTCCATTGCTGTATGCACTTGATGCTCATACATTATTTGATGGCTTTTAATTATTTTAAAAAGAACTTCATAGGCTTGAGGGTGACTTGTTTACAAATATATGCAGTCAGAAAGTTGGAGGCAGCATTAGAGAGTCATTGTTTTAATCTTAGTATTAAAGAATTTTTGAAATTTGCTGTTTTCTCTGCCCTGTAAGTGCCCACTTACTCTTACTTGGCCTTTATATGTGAAACTTACTTTAATATACTATGTATGTAATATTTATGATATAATATTGTTTAATATATTATTTTAGTATAATTTACGAATAAGAAGGCTTTTGTTCATAACTGGAGTCCACTTTTTGGGGTTTTGCTTGTTCAGTGTACTCCACCTTTTGGGGGTTTGGTTGGTTTGTTTTGAGAAGGAATCTTATTGTGTAGTCCTGGCTGGTGTTGAATTTTGGGTAGTCGTCCCACTTCCCCATCCCAAAAGCTGGAATTGAAGATTTGTGCCACCAAAACCAATCTGGAGTCAGTTTTTTAACCTGTGGGGAAAATATTAAAGTCTATTTTAGTTTGGCGTATTAATTCCTTTGTAGTGTCCACTAATGATGGTCTTAAGGATTAATAACACTGAGAAAATGAAGTCTCATGCAATAAAGACTATAGGGCTCTTTCTTCGTGGTGACTGATATAAAATATCACTCTGTGTGTGTGTGTGTGTGTGTGTGTGTGTGTGTGTGTGTGTGTAAAATAGTACTAGGGATTGAGCTGAGGGCCTCCAGCATGCTAGGTACACAGCAGCAGCTCTTAAATGTTACTTTTAATGAATGAAACAGTTTTAAAAAATAAAAGTAATTTTCTATATTGGGTTTATTAAGTGATAAGTCTTAATGTACTTAAATCATTTTTTATCTTGCCAACAAAAATCAAACAGTAATGCAGTAATCAGTGGTGGTTTTCAAGAATTATGAATTATAATTCATATTGAGGGCAGAGTATTACACAGCACAGTCTGGCCTCAAACTCAGTTAGTGGAGGATGACCTTAAATCTTTGATTTTCCTGCTTCTATCTCCCCAGTGCTGGGATTGCAGGTGTGTTCCCCGATGCTGGGTTTTATTCCACGCTGAGGGTCAAACCCGCGTCTCTCGGGTGCTAGGCATGCACTGTAAAGGCTGATTTATGCCCAAATTATGAATTATAAAGGTGATCTCTAGAGCTGGTGTACAACTCTAATCCTGCATCTGAGAGGCTGAGGCAGGCAGGTGGGATTTTGAGGCCACCTTGGGCTACATAGAGAGAGAATGGGGGCGGTGCTCCAACTCGGACCTTTGTAAGAATGGTGTCAGGACACCAACCTCAGTTAACCTGGGATTTAATGTTAGAAGTAGGAGGAGCTAGAAATTAAGTCTTGTTTTCCACCCTTAGAATTATAATTCAACCTTTTCTGCATCTTTCTCCTGTAGAACTGGGCTGTTCACATGCTTCAGAAAAGCCAGAATGAATAAACTTTTGCCAGTCACTGGGCTTCAGAGATAGTATTCTGTGAGCATTGAGCAGTGCTCAGTTTTTAAAACTCCTCACTTTTGTGTTTGTTTAAAGCTTGTTCTGTTGTGTGTGTGTGTGTGTGTGTGTGTGTGTGTGTGTGTGTGTGTCAGTGTGCATGTGCCACAGCATGGAGAGATGAGAGGAAGGTTTGCAAGAGTCAGTTCTTTTCTTCTATTTTGTGGGTCTCAGGGATCAAACTCAGAACTTTACTGGCTGAGCCATTTTGGTAGCCCTATTTTTATATATTATTAAAAATATTTTTTAAGATTTATTTTATCTAATATGTATGGGTATTTTGTCCGCATTTGTTTGTACATCTTGAATCAGAAGCCTGAAAAGGATGTCAGATTCTCTTGAACTGTTGGGGGTCTCTGCAACCACCATGGCCAGCAGGGCATGACGACGGACGGACGGACACGATCTGAGGGTGAATCAGGTTGGCTGCCACCGCACTTTATTGAGAAAAGATTACACCTTCCATACTGTATAGTTGGACACAGGATTAAATGGGTGAAAAGGGGCATGTGAGGTGGGGTGTGGCTTGAGGTCAGGGCTTGAGGAATCCAGCATTGACCTTGACAATAGGCACTAGCCCTGTGTTACTGGAAGGGCCACAAGTTCCTCCTGCCAGAGATGAGAAGAATGCAGGAACTTTCCTCAAGCCCCTAAGGGAATAGAGACCCTTACCCAAATGCCTAATCTTGGGAAAAGGATTTCTGGGGAGCAGACACTATACTACCAATTTCTTGGTCTTAATCTGTGGGCCTGTTCCCCTCATAACGCTCCCAAAAGGGAAGGTCCTGGTGTCTTACTCTTTTTCCATTATATTGCACTATTCTGATTTCTCTATATTTATTAACTGAACTCTTGCCCTTATGGCTTGACAGGCTTTCATCATTTTATGGCTGAATAGTATTCCGTTGTATATGTGTCTCATGTTTTCTTTATCCATTTTTGATAAAGTTGATGGGCACTTAGTTAATTTCCTATCTTGGTTGTTGTGAATTGTCTCCACTGGACATAACATACTGATTTCATTTCCTTTGGATGTGGACCCAAGAGTGGGATGAACTTGTTGGTTTTTGCTCTTTTGGGGAGGCCCGCCACCCAGCTCCCAAATAAATCACACACGGAGGCTTAGTCTTACTTTTGAGTGCCTGGCCTTAGCTTGGCTTAGTTTCTAGCCAGCTTTCCTTAACTTAAATTACCCCCACCCACTACCTTTGCCTCTGGGTTTTTCCATTTTCTTACTTCCTTAAATCTTACTCTTACTTCGTGGCTAGCTGGGTGGCTGACCCCAGACGTCCTCCTTCTCTGGCTGCCAGCGCTCTCTTCCCTGATTTCTCCCTCCATATATTCTGTCTGCCAGCCCCGCCTATCCTTTCTCCTGCCTGGCTATTGGTCAGTTCTTTATTAGACCATCAGGTGTTTCAGACAGGCACAGTAACACGGCCTCACAGAATTAAACAAATGCAACATAAGCAAAAGTAACACACCTTAAAATAATATTCTACAGCAGTGGGATTTTTGGCTTTCATGGGACTTTTGTGGGTTTCTGTTTGTTTTGTTTTTGTTTTTTGAGACAGGGTCCCTCTGTATAGTGATGGCCATCCTGGAATTCAATTTGTAGACCATACTGTCCTCCAACTCACAGAGATCCACCTGCCTCTGCTTCCCAAGTGCTGAGATTAAAGGCGTGCACCACCACTGCATGATTTTTGTTTTAATTTTGTCTTTGATAATAACCATTGACTGGGTGAGGTTGATTCTGTGGTGGTGTTTTTCTTCCTTGCAAATGCTAAGCTCATGCATTATCATCTAGCTGTATCCCTAGCCACCTTATTGTGGTTTCAAGTGGTATCTTCCTGATAATTAGTGAAGCTCAGGATTTTTTTTTTCATAATACATCCTTCTGAGAAGAGTCTATCAAAGTGTTTTTTGACCATTTATAAGTTAGTTTTTTTGTTTTTTGCCATTGAGTTGTTTGAATTGCTTATACATTCTGGATTTTTAACCTCTTGTTAGAGAAATAGTTTGTAAAAATGATGTTTTTCTTTTATTCAAAAGGTTCTCTTCATCTTGTTTCTTTTCCTGGACAGAAGTTCTGCAGGGACTTTTAGCTGGGTGTAATACCTGTCACCTAATTTTGTTTTAGGGCTATATCCAAAAAGTCCCTGCCCACTGTTTTTTCTTCTGGTAGTTTTATAGTTTATGAAGTCTTTAATCTGTTTTTTTTTTTTTTTTTTGGTTTTCTTTTGGTTTTTTTTCCGAGACAGAGTTTCTCTGTGTAGCTTTGGAGCCTGTCCTAGAA